GCCAGCTGTCACGGGCATTGTTCAGAAACGTTGTCATATTGTCATGCTTGGGTTTTACTCAGTCACAGCTTCTTTTCCTTCCTTTTTAAGTAGAGTTTGTATCTGTATTTTGCTTTGTTGCAGGATGACCGCCAGCAGCTGTTTGATTGTGCCTCTTGGCTTTTTGATGGTAACAAGTGGAAGCAAGAGCTATAGATTGAAATCAGAAGCATCGTGTGAAGTGAACTAGTTCAGAGATCTGTCTCTGGCATCACTGGCACGATTTCTCCTGGGAAGCTGAGAGCTCTAATTGGGCAGGTGCTAACCCTCCTTATTTAGGGCTTTGGGGTTGGAGCTTTGAGGTCCCAGCACTTACACTTTGGGCTTATCTTTGTGTTTGTCCGTGGATTACATCATACCATCATGCGGGGGACGGAAGAGATGTATTTATGTTTGAGTGTGTTCGGGGCATATTGGGATGAAAAATTGTTCACTGCTGTCGCAGTTTGAGCCCTCTTGCTGCCCCCCTCCCACTTCACTGTGTGAAGTGTTGCCATGTGACTGAAGTTCAAAGGAAGCAGCTGAATCTCCGGCTGCATCGCCATTGTCTCTGTCACCGTGCGTTGCGTGATCACGTTCCGTGTTACGTGTCTGTGTGTGTGCCTGCGTGTGCGGGGCACAGAATGAACGTGATGTCTCACGGTTGACGCTCCCCCAGCCCAGGGTGATTATAAATTTTGTGTGTGATTAATCTGCTGTGTGATTAGGAACACCGCTGTGTAATGACGCATTCTCTCACTGGGAAGGCTTGGCTCCTCTCTGGTCCTACCTGGAACATTAACTTAACCTTAAGTTACAGCTCATTCCCTGTCTGTTGAATGGTGTTATAGTAGATAAGGTTGTAGACTTAAGCTTTAAAATTATGATGGGTAGGTTTCAAACAGGATTCCTGTAACATTATCGTCCTGGATGCCATTATATAGTACTTTTGTTTGTGTAATTAAAAGTGATATGCTGTGATCAGTCTCATTTAGTCAGGCTTGGATGTCCCGTCTGCTCAGCTGAGCGTTGCTGGGGTGTTCACCTCTGTGTCTTTCAGTGCCATACAGACCTACCTGCAGAGGCATTAGCTTTGCCCGTCCACACCGGGTGTGATGAGCAAAGCTCAGCCACTCAGCCAGTGGGCTTGATTAGCTTATGGACAAGCAATGAGGTTACAAGATTAACTTAGTGCTTTCCAGGTGGGCAGCATCTGGCCGTATACTTGTGCCCCTGCAAAAAGGCCAGGTCTAAGGCAGGTGTGTGTGTGTGTGTGTGTGTGTGTGTGTGTGTGTGGCAGAGCACACTCACTCTCGGCATCGTAACTTTTTCGCTGCAGATCATCTTTCCGCTGCTCTGCAGTAACTGCACTATGTGACTCATCAGTAGTGTTGACCCAGGTCTGGAGGTGCCCCGTCTGCTGCGTGATGGGATGTGCCGTCTGGTTGAGGACCAGAATTGGCCTGCAGAGCTTGAACGCCTCATGGAGGATTGAGATACTCTTAGGGAGGTTAATGACCCTTATTACTCCCATCTAATTTGGTGGATTCTGGCTTGGTTTGGTTGTCTCTGTCTCTGAAAGGGGGTTGACTTTTTTCCTTAAATGTGTCACATCCCCTACAAAACCCCCTTGAGCTCATTTTGCAGGGACACCTCCCTGGGAGAGAGAAGTTGAAATCTGGTTGAATTGTGCCGGATTGCTAACATTTCTGAGTGTTCTTGACAAAATGTGGCTTACATTGTGAGCCCACAGTGTATTTATACTCTAACTAGAATTTAGGTCAGCGTCTCCCCCGGGGCTCTCAAAACCAGCTGGTCCAGCTGCCACGTCCTGAGCGGCGCATTGCTGCCGTAACACTAGACCCACACAGGCCTTCCGTAGGACGGCAGGCGGCCTGCCCTTCCAGAGAAGTGATAGCTGGAGAGGGGAATTCCCCTCCTGCCCCCACCCCCCTCAAGGGCAGTGCTGTCATGGGCAGACTCACAGGGAACCCTCTCAGTGCTGCTGCCTAAAATAACCCCTCAAAGGGCAGAGTTAGCCCACGTGTCTCTGCACGTCTGTGGGCGCCATCCCCATCAGCTCTGTTCATCCCTCTTTTCTTTGCGTTTCACTTGGATTCTGCAGGTTGGCTGTATGCATTTCAGGGCTTCTCCATTTCTGCATTTCGCCTGGGCTGACCTATAACACGTGCCACAGATCAAACATTGTTAAACAAAGTGCGGTGATCTAGTTAGGATTTGCAAGGGGGTCTTTCATTTAGTCTATCATTGAATTTTCCACAACTTTAAACGAATGATTATCCACCTATTCAGGGTATTTGTAGAAGCCTGTCCAATTAGTGTGACCCCACTGAAAACACGGAGTCTGATTTATGACTACAGGCCTGCGGTTTGGAGCTGATATTCTGAACGGTTCCCACGTTTCCCTTTATGAAAATAGAGTGGAATTTGGAGAATGCTTTAGAAGTTCAGCTGCACGTGGAAGGTTGGTGATATCAGTAAGTGCCTGGAAATCCTTCTCCTCACTCAGGTGTTGGGCCAACCTCATCTTCTCCTCTTTCTCAGATTATTCTCTGCTCAGCATTCAGGCTACTGAAAAGCAGAGGCTGATCAATGTTGGGAAAGGTATAGATTTAGATGTTAATTGACAAGCATTTGGTTTGCGTATCTGACAATGACCAAGACCCAGCTGTGATAATATGTCCTTTGTTGGCTGTGTGCATTTGTCTTTCTTTTACTGCATTCAGATCCCCAAATGAACATCGCACGCTGCTTGTCATATTGACGTAGAGGCGAACACAGCTCTCGCTTCATTTATAAAGTGTTATGTCGTATAATTAAATTACGGTGAATAAAACCAGAAGTGGAGGTTGTCATCATGTTGGAGCGCCAGGTCGTTTCCTCCTACGTTTCAACTGGCTGTGTTTATCTGTGACAGTGGGAGTCGCATTTGTTTTTTTTTTTTTTTTTGTGAAAAACAATGGTGTGTTCTGTCGTCGGATGTCAGAATGACGTTGAATATGTTCAGTTTTGTTGTAAACACAATAAGAAGCTCTAAAGGAACCTCAGAGGAACCTCTAATAACCGTCAGAAGGTGTCTGGTGCTCTGCGGGAACTTTGATCAAAAACTGTGCAGATTCGTTTGATTTGCCTTGTGACAGAATGTGACAGAAATGAGTAGCAGGTTAATAACCTCACCGATGATAAACCAGAGACGTCCAGGCACCAGTCAAGGGATTTTGAGGGGGAGGCCGGCTGGCTTTTGAACTTAGGTCATTCTGATCAGGAATTTCAGAAGGACATCATGTTTGCTGAAGGACCATTTCTACCTTGTTTCCTGTGTTCTTTTCCTTACCAGGACTAACTAGATAGTCAGACTTGTGGATCGGTAGCAGGCAGTCGCTGGTAAATCATAAGTGTATGGATCCTTTACTAGGGCAGAGTTCTTCGACTCCAGGTATAGACCTGAGAATGAATGCCTTCAGATGAGTTTGTAGTTTTTGGGCTTGGTGCGTCACCCATACAGCCCCAGGAGACCCCAAAATGCTCCTCCTAAGCAAAGACATAGTGGTGCTGCCTCCCATCTCCACACGTCTTGGGTCTGGTTACCCAAAGCCATCAGGTTTGAGCAGTCAGACCGCAAGGGTCACGGCTCTGGGTTCTAGAACAGTGCAATTCGGCTCCTGAGAGCCTCAATTTGAATGACCACCTGTTTTTGAATTTTTCAGCAAATTGTTTATTAAAGCTTCTCAAGCAGCCAAAATCTGCGGCAGTCTGCGTTGAGAGAGGTCCTCCTTGTCTGAATACGAGGCAGTCTGCGTTGAGAGAGGTCCTCCCTGCTCAGGTGTGCTGTCTTTAGAGGGCGATCTGGGCCCTGGAGGGAGCTTGACCTGCCTACTGGTCTCTCACGGTGACTCACTCCCTTTAAGTGGCTGGCTTCGCTCTGACACTTAGCGAGGTGGGCAGCCGGGGCTTCTCTGCGCTGCTGCTGGGCTGTGGGGGTGGGCTGGTGGGGTGGTGCGCGGGGGATGTGGAGAGTGCCGCTGTCGGCCGCTGCGATCTCAAAACCAGCTGGTCCGGCCTCTGATCACACATCCTGTATTATATTGTTCATGACGAGTGGGATCTGGGCTCTTTTTCTGGGAAGCATGTAGCTTATAATGCTGCACGGCTCAGCTCTGACACTGTTACACTGACAGTCAGGGCCACCAAAGTCTCACCTCAGCGTGAGACAAACGAGATCCTGGCTGTTCCCCGGCAAGTCCATGGGCTGGGTGTTGTTTTTGTTATACTTTGTGGTCATGCTCTCCTGTTCCCTATGCCACACTGCGCCTGCAGAAATTCAAGGTCGGCTGATCCCCGGTTAGTTTGAACAGGGCCGCACAGACGCTGTGGATCTCTCTAAGGAGAGCCCTTCTTAGCCCTGACTGGGTGCAGGAGTGGCCTCTGTAGAGATGCAATCCCCAAAATTCCTCGACGTGGCCCGTCCGGTCCCCCAAAGGTACCTGGCTTGATTTTCTAGAAGAGCACAAGAGCTGGTGGTGAATTTAATGGTTGTGGCAGGGACCTCATGAAGGACCACACTCTCAGGGCATGTCTGTAAGGTGAAGAAGCAGCCTTGCATTCAAATAAGGGCCCAATGGCTGCTGCTTTTACTATGTTCACTATCTTCTGTGACGGCGCTAACGGTCACGTTCGCACGCACACACACACACACACACACACACACACACACAGCTGTTTCCGTCCCACTTTATCAAGTCCTCCATCACCTCCACATCCTCTGACTGGGCCACCTTATTGAGACCTGACAAGTAGCTATAGTCATACTTTAGACCTCAGTAGCGAGATGATGAGATGAAGCTGAAAGCCCACTGAGGCTCCAGGTAGTCACCTCCGTTTGGGAGGAGGAGCGTGTAAAATGGGTGATGCTGGAAGGCCTCCACGCCAGCGCAGTGATGCCGCCCGCGTGTCTCCCACAGGGGTGCCGTATCCGCCCACGACGCGCCTCTCCATGAAGGAGCTCTACGAGAACGGCAAACCCAAGGTGGAGGTGCTGAAGAGCCACCTGGTGAAGGAGGGCCGGCTGGAGGAGGAGGTGGCCCTGCGCATCATCAACGACGGGGCCAGCATCCTGCGCCAGGAGAAGTGCATGCTGGAGGTGGAGGCGCCGATCACAGGTGAGCTGCACCCCCTGTGCCCCCCCCCCCACGCCAGCAGAGGCACTGAAGCTCCTGGCACCTTTACTGCTGAATGAAAGCCTGACTCCCCTGGAACTCTGTTGGAGTTTGCCCCTGCCATTAACTCCTTGTTGGTGTTAGATGCATCCTGGAAGCTGCATTTACCCCTAATTTTACCACTTTCATGGTACATATAACAGGGATAAATTTTACGTCATAACGATTATGATGGATATAGAAACCAGAAGGTGACAGAATTCCGAGGACTTTGGTTGCAGCCCATAATAATGGTGCCAGATGTTATACGGCTTGTTGTGCCTGTGGCCCCCCCCCCCAGTGTGCGGCGATGTCCACGGGCAGTTCTTCGACCTGATGAAACTGTTCGAGGTGGGCGGCTCCCCCAGCAACACGCGCTACTTGTTCCTGGGTGACTACGTGGACCGGGGCTACTTCAGCATTGAGGTGGGTGCCAACGTCTCCGAGGGAGGGGGGGGGAGTTATAGCAGGCGGCTCCAATAGCTGATGCCCCATTTTAAGCTAAAGAACACAGCCTCTGACGCAATTACCTGGCTGAATGGTGTAAGAACAGGGCTTGACTGCGTCATCTCTAAATCGACTAGTGGCTAGATTGATAGTGATTTAATTCTGAATCATACCTGGACATGAAACTAATGATTGATGGGGGCTGAAATAACTTGAGACCTGGTCTTCAACCCTTAACCCCCCAGTTCACCGTTATGTTATATTCCATTCCATTGCCTTGGCAACTGCTTGGCAGGCCACCGTGGTGTGTGCTGTCCACTCAGTCGGAGCGGCGTTGTGGGTGGCACTCCTGGATTTGAGGGTGCTGATCCGTAGGAGATTATACTGATCCCTGATCAGTAATGGTAGATTCCAAAACAACAGCATTAACAAGCTCTAGGCTGCTGTGTTAGGACCTGATAGATAGATTAGACAGCCTACAGCTAAAAACAGCTGCAGACAAAGAGTAGGTTTAAATTCTTAAATAATCCATTTAACCATTTCTGGGACTCATCGCTGAAATTTTATTGCTCTTCTGAGTAGACAGGTGCGATGAAGGGATTAAAAATCCAGTTAGTCCAAAGTCCATGGACTGGCTGCAAGCCTATGGCCTAGGATAGACACCCAGGTTCCCCTTGCATTGTATGCAGAACAGATGTTTTTTAAGCTAAAATGTTTGTGCTGGCCTTGGTCATGCCTCGATCGCTGCAGGTCTTTGCTCTGATATTTGACGGCATGTGTGAATTTCATTGGCTGTTAGCACGTCTGGACAAAGCCCGTGTAAAGCATGCAGGTGGACCTGCAAAGGCCCATCTGCCCGATCAGATGGTGTAAAGCCACGGGCAGCAGACAGATCTGCAATAAGTTAGACAGGAAGTGATTCAGTGACAAAGGAAATGACCACATTAGTAGGCACGGTAGAGCTGTGTATTGAGTTTTTGAGTTTGTTCAGAGTCATAGGACATCATCAGGCAGTGGAACCACTACTGGGCCGGGCTGGAGAAAGATCTTCTACTATATCCAACAAGGGGCCCTTTGGTGGGCGGGCAAGTTCAGAGAAAGGCCTGTGCATGGTGAGGAGGGGATCTCCCTGTTCCTGAACCTGGGGAGCCCTGTGAGGTCTGGATGGGGGGGGGGGGGGTTCCCCCGTTCCTGAGCCTGGGGGGGCGCGGGGGGGGGGGGGGGGGGGGGGGGGGGTACTGAGAGAATTT